CCTGTGTGCTGGAGTAGCTAACAGTTTTCTGTCCTCAGGAGGAGTCCGTGAAAGACCAAAGTTCTCTGGCAGAAGTTTTCAGTGACGCCCTGGAAATATCCCAAGTGGGTTTGAAAGTTAAATATCTACATTATTCCACAAGTGGCCTTCATTTCACATTGTGGGTCACATACAGCACACTTTAATCTTAAGCGGGCCAGACCAGTGAAACCCCCCTGTCACCGTACAGAATCCATAATTGCACATTTATTCCCAAAGATATCCTAATACAGGGAAAAAAATCAAATTTTTTGTTTGTTTGTTTTTTTTTAACACAAAGCTGCACCAAACTGTGGTGCATTTACTGTAAATTTCTGGGTTACCTCTGCAGTTTCTGTCAGTTTAACTGAAAGATTTGTTCTTCAACTTGGTTATGTTTTTACAGTATATTTTATTGAGGAGAAAAAGAGAGATGTGGCAGAGATGAAGACCCAACTCAGGTTGAGCAGTTTTGAGTCAAAGTTAGAGAAGATTGGCTGACATGGTTTGGAAATGTGCAGAGCTGGGATAGTGGATATTTTGGACAAAGGATGTTGAATATGGAGCTACCAGGAAGGAGGAAAATAGCAAAACCTCAGAGAAGATTGACTGACGTAGTGAAGGAGGACACACACAGATAGAGTGAGATGGAGGCAGATAATCTGCTGTGGTGACCCCTAAAGGGAGCGTCCAAATGAAAAAGCTCAGCGTAACAGGCATATCTGTTTTTAAGGATGTTACTTTCCAAAGAAATGGCACAAAGGAAAACAGAATCTGAGTATCTGAGCCAAAAGTTAAATGCTTTGTGCTTTAAATTGTAAATAAATAGACGTTTCCACCATAACCAGTGGATAACTGTTTTATGAAGTCGACTAGAATGCAGTAAAATGGTCTTTTCCCAGCTTTTATAATACTGTGGCCTCCATGTCATAGTAAAAATTGTACAAATTTTGGATAAGGTGTGTGTGTGTGTGTGTGTATACAGGATGTGACTTTGACAGGGCTTGAAGCCTCAGAGGAGGCAGACGGCAGAGAGGAGCCAGAACATGGGGAAGGACAGAATGACGGACAGAAGGCCGGTCCATCTTCAGCTGACTCTGCTGATCCTGAGTCAAAGGTAAAGACCTCACAGACAGGTGAGGGCTAATCTGCAGAAGCAGTTTTTAAGTGTAGCCCAGAGCTTCGGAGCAGATACGTGTGACTTTGCTGCACTCTGCAGACAGACATCAAGAACTGCAGCTGCAGGGAGAACTATAAGTTTGTGAGCTTATAATTTTGTCGCTTAAATTACTGTCTCAGAATTTGTTCTGTTTTTCATAACTTGATGCAGGATCAACTAACAAACTACTCCCTGACCAATTAAAATAAAAAATTAAGTAAACACACTTATTGCTATTTTGGTGATTTCAATAAATAACATGTTGTGCAAAAAAAGCCTGTTATGTCTCACAGTGGGTCGTGGGAGCTCAGTGTCGGGCAGTGTGGTCTGTAGATGGGAAGGAGTATCCAGCAACTGTGGTGTCTGTGGATGGCAACAACTGCAGAGTTCATTTCACTGGCTATGGCAATGAGGAGGACATGGAACTGAGTGCGCTTCAGAGTCCTAATGCTGCACCACAAATGGAGAACTCACATGCTCAGGTTAATGCACTTTAACATATTATGGCAATATGTAAGTCAGTGCTTGGTGTTTACTCCTCAGCTGTAAAAAGCTGATGGGGTATTGACCTTGACCTCTATGTCAGAGTGAGTTTTCTGAAAGTCTTGTTGAGGGGTAGCACCTGCAGTTGTCAGTATTTTTAAAATCGTTGTTTAAAAATTCTTTTGATACCTGCTTATTAGTTATTTGAGAAGAACAACTAAAGGCACATGGTAACAGCTGAGGAAGCTCTGCTTGGCTGTGGTATGTAGTCAAAAGATCAATCGGGAAAAAGCCAGAAAATTTCTTAATTCAGTTTTGTTAAGCAACACATTCAGAGTGAAGAATGATTCATCATAGTTTGTACTTAAATA